CCGAGGGGTGCTGGTGGCGTAGGCCCCGTTTTTTGGGGGAACCTTTGGTGGGGCTGAGGCAGCTCTGAGCTGGGGGAGTTTCACTGAGGGCTTTGCCTGGAGTGAAAGAAAGAAGCAGGGAAGGGCGACAGGAGATGGATGGGGCACATACAGCTACGCTGTGGGTGGCTCCTGGCACAGAGGGGAAGCACAGGGATGCTTGCCATCCTCCGGGCCTCACCTGGGTGGGTGCCTCCCCTTCACTGTCCGACTCCTCCTCACTGCTCTCTGAGTCCTCCTCTGGGCCCCTGACAGGTCCCTGCTGGTCCTCGGCTGCTGCGGCCACTGCCTTCCCCACAGCTGTCACAGACACCTGGCCCTTCCCTGAGACGACACTGCTCTGGCGGGTCCTCAATGGAGGCTTTACCTGAATTGTGAGGAGGGAACAGCATTGGGAAAGAAAGTAGACAGCATGCTTCTCTTTACGTGAAGCCCCACCCATGGCATGATTGTGGGAGGTTACTCCCACCTGTGCAGGACCCTTGTCCAGACTGGGGCCACTGCTTGGTCCTCCTCTCCATCCCACCCTGGCACCACCTGTGGCTCTGGTCCCACTTGCCTTGGCTGGGGACCCCAGCTTGGCCTGAGCAGCTGCAGTGACCCCTTTCCCCAAAGCTGACACTGCCCCTTTGGCTGAAGCTACTCGGCTGGCAGCCAAGTTAGCTTTGGTCTGAGGGCTTTTCACTGAAGTCTTCACCTGGAAGGAGAAAAGGGAATTATTGAAAGGAGGTGAGATGCAAAAGTGATTAGCCAAGAACACTGATCCTGGAGTCAAATGCCTGAATCTGGATTCTGGCTCCTCCATTAATAGTTGTGTGAACTATTCAACAACTCATTTTATGAGGCAGTATTATCCCAATACCAAAGCCAGGCGAAGACATCCCAAGAACTAACTACAGACCTGCATTCTTTATGAACATAGACACAAAAGTCCTTCATAAATGATTTGCAAACCAAATCCAGCAACAAATAAAAATGCATATACACTATGCTCAAACAAGATCTATCCCAAGAACGAAAGTCTGATTGATTCCGACTCATTTCTGACCTCAGCAATGCTGAGCACAGTGGAACCAGTGAGCGTGCACAGCATTTTGAGGGTGAGGCCATTTAATCCACATGAAAGGCAGTTATGATCCTCATCCTTCAAGGAAAGGCAAGGGAAAAAAGGTGGCCAACAAGACTCCTCCTATCAGTCCCGCCTGTTTTATCAGAGGTCTTTCAGACCTCTTGAACTTAGGAAAGGCGTCATCTTCTGACAGAGCATCAGGCTATAAGGTTAGGCTGCTAGAGAGGGACTGGCTGCCCTATTTTTCACCCTGAGAGAATAAGGCCCCAAATTACGACCATGTCTGTGGCTGGAAAAGTTTTGGCCAAGATGTAGTGGAAGGAAGTGGGAAAGGCAAAGGCTTTGGAGGCAGGAGTTGGTGGGGCCGGAGCAAGTCACTAAACAACTCCTCTAAACTCCAATTTTCTCCTCCAGAAACCAAAGCAATTGAACACCTGTCTCACAGTACAGCTGGCAGGCTCAGATGGGAAGACAGATATTTAAGTGATCGGCACAACGAAACTTTCTAAAATACTTCATCTTCTTTTTTTAAATGGAGGTCTGGGGACAGAACCCAGGACTTCATGCATGCTAGGCTCACTGAGCTATTATTCCCCAATCCATCACTGAAACTTTTAAGGCACTGGTTTAGAATGTCTGCAGCTTGGAAAAACAGGATAGGAGCCTGCTGAGCTGAAGACTCTGGGAAGGCCAAGTATAGTTTAAAAGCTCAGTAAAGGACTCACAGGACCTTGGTCCCACAAGGTAACAGTGAGAGCAGGACAAAACAAACCAACCAACAAGAAACAAAAAAACAAACAAAAAACCCCCCATAGAAATGTGTGTGCTCTGATACAGGGAAATAAGAAATGACTAATTTGAGTGGTTAGTGAAAAAAAGAGCGACAATTAAAAATAATAAACGGTGGGTGGGTGAGTACAGGGAGTGAGCTATCTTCACTTCTCCCAGCTCTCCCAGGCTGGAAGACAACTTGATTCTGCTCCCTCAGGGACAGGGATGAGAGCCTGCTGTGTGTGCACAGGACCCTTGCTGGGTGTGGTAGGCGAGATCTCATTAAATCCTCAACCCTGTGCAATTTGATTTCCAATTTACAGAAGAGCAAATAGGCGACCTGTTGGATTACATCACTTGCTGGGACATGGAGCTAGAACTTCAACCCAGGCAGCCTGGCTCTAAACCTCTCAGCCACTCACCCTTACCACATGGTCTCCCCTAGTGATCCCGCCAGATACATGCTCTGCTTGAGGAAAACCAAAAGGCCAGACACTCTCTCACCCCCTGGCCTTTGCATAGGCCAGTTTCTCTACTTGGAACACTATGTCACCTGGTCAACTCTTTCAGCCCACAATTTGGATGCCACTTCCTCCTAAAGGTCTTCTCTCCTGAAAAACCCCTAGATGCCATCACCTGTCAGGCTCTGCTAGCCCAGGTACACACCCTTTATCTCAACCCTATCACACCACACTGAAATAACCTGTGTACAGGTCCACGCCCCCCCGTCTAGGTGGGAACTCTGAGGGCCATGGCCAAAGGAGCTCCAGACAGGATGGCACGTGGCAGATGAGATACTCAACAGAGCTTGCGTAAGAAAGTGTAAGAAATCTCAGTGGGAGGTCAAAAGGGCATGAAGGAGACCCTGGAGCTCTGATGGGCAGAGGAGACAGAACGGAAAGTGTGGAATGAGGCTGAGCAGAGGTTGCCCCGGAGGCTTCTGCACACCCTGGGAAAGAGCAGCCCGTGTGAGCCCATCTCCAGCCTGTCCCAGGCACTGGCGTGGGTTGGCTCCTCCCAGGCCTCACCTGTGTGGCAGTTGAGGCTGCCTTCTCGTTGTCTGACTCCTCACTGCTCTCTGAGTCCTCCTGTACCTCAGCTTTGACCTGGGCCATGACAGGCCCTGCCTTCCCTAGGAGCACTGGGGCAGTCCCTTGCCCTGAGGGCCCCTTGGTGGACGCTGAGGCAGCTTTCCCTGGGACACTTTTTCCTACAGACTTCGCCTGGAATGACACAAAGAGAGGTGTGTCACGGGAGCCAAAGGACTGGGTGGGGACCGGTCCTGACCCAGCCAAGCAAACTTGGCCTCACCTGTCCCACTGCTGTGGCAGGAGCTGTCTCCTCCTCGCTATCTGACTCTTCGCTGCTCGAAGAGTCCTCCTCTGGCCTCTGGGCGCCCCTGGCCATGGCTGGGGATGACGTGCAGGCTAGTGAAGACGCCGTTCCTGCTTTCCAGGGGGCTGGTGTGCCTGCTTGCACTGGGGGGACCTTGGCAGATGCAGGTGTAACGGGAGTCCCCTTTCGTGGGGAGGCCTTGGTCTGAGGAGTTCTCCCAGCCAGTTTTGCCTGAAGGGGCACAGAAGACAGAAGCTGGAGAAGGATCTTGGATGCAGAGCCCTCGTCTGCTCTGGAGTGGAGCCCCACTGCCGCCCTTCCCCACAGCTCCCCGTGGAGCTGACCGGCGAGAGCAGCTCAGGGTCAGGCTGTGGAGCTGCCCCTCCCGAGGCCCTACCTGGGCTGGAGTCACAGCTGCGGGTGTCTCATCCTCACTGTCTGACTCCTCGCTGGTCTCCGAGTCTTCCTTGGACCTTTTGGTCTTGACCTGGGTGGTTGCAGGCCCAGCCTTCTGAGAGGGCCCCTTGGCAGGACCCGAGGCAGGTCTGACCTGGGGAACTTTCCCCAAAGACTTTGCCTGCAGTGAGACACACGTGATCAGGGGAGAGAGCCCAAAGCGTGGCTGTGTGCAGAGACACTAGAGACCGAGAGGGCCAACAGGCACAACGAGGGGACAGGAAGGGCACTGAGGGGGAGAGAAGAGCCTCGCAGGCAGGGGCCTCACCTGGGCCGAGGCCGCGGCTGTCGGTACCTGCCCGTCGCTGTCCGACTCCTCCTCACTGCTGCTCTCCGAGTCCTCCTCCCGCTTCGTGGCCTGGGCGGCCGCAGACCCCACATTCCCAGGGGGCCCCGGGACAGCGCCCTTTGCTGAGGGCCCCAAGCCCAGAGCTGAGGCAGCTTTGACCTGGGAGTTTTTCCCCAAGGCCTTTGCCTGGGAGTGACAAAGGATAGAGTCAGGATAGGGGGCTTACAGGGGAAAGTGTGTGAGGTAAGGCAGGAGGGGAGACGGGTAAGTGGAGGGCACAGGGCCCTGAGTGCAGAGGCAGAGGACCGGGCACAGGGCCACGCAGGGTATTCTCCAGCCTCACCTGAGCCAGGCGTGTGGTCTGGGGCACAGCTGTGGGCGCCTCGCCCTCGCTGTCTGATTCCTCGCTGCTGCTGCTCTCCGAGTCCTCCTCCTGCTTCCTGGCCTGGGGGGCCGCAGGGCCTGCTTTGCCCGGGGGTGCTACAGGTGCCCTTTTCCTAGGAGACGCCTTGGCAGGTGCTGCTGAGGCAGCTTTGACCTGGGGGATCTTCCCTGAGGGTTTTACCTGGAGTGAGAGAAAGAGAATTGGCGGGGAGCCCAGAAGGTGGGTATGAGGAGACACAAGGGAGCAGACAGGGTCAAGGACACCAGAGGCGCCACAAGGTGAGAAGAGGCAGGGCTCTGCGCATGCCTGGGGCGCGAGCGGAGTGGGAGAACAAGCCCTCAGAAGGCCGCCTGGGACGGGGCGCTGGCTGCGGGGCTCCGCCTCCCCAGGCCTCACCCGAAGTGGGGTCTTGGCAGCTGGCAGCTCCTCCTCGCTGTCTAAGTCCTCCTCGCTGCTGCTCTCCGAGTCCTCCTCAGGCCTCCCTGCCTTGGCCTGGGTGGCTGCAGGCCCTGCCTTCCCAGGGGGTGCTGGGGTGGCCCCTTTCCCAGCGGTCCCCTTGGCAGGACCTGAGGCAGCTCGGACCTGGACAGTTTTCTCCGAGGCCTTCACCTAGTAAAAGAGAAAGGGCAGTTTGTTCCCCTCCTTCTGAAAACCCTCTGGGGATGCCTTCAGGATAAAGCCCGAGGCCTTAGTGGAGCTCACAAGAACCCCCTGCTTCTCTCCCCCACTTGACTGGAGCTCCAGCCAGTGTAGCCAACCAGCTTCACACCTCTTGGGGCCTTCACCCACCACCACCTTGTCTTCTGGGTCCCAGACAGGCACAGTTACTTACAGCAGTTCTCCCTGATGGCCCTGCACTGTCCGCATGGCTACCCCGATACACAGGGTATTGTGGACTGTCCCCGGCTGGGCTTTGCCATCAGCTAGAGGGCTCTGTGAGCACAGGCACCATGTCTGATGGACCTACTGCTATACCCTCAGTGCCAACCCCCAGTGTATATGTGACTGGACTTAGAGGAGGGAGAATGCAAAGGCCCAGAGGGAGGAATCAGGGGAGCTTGGATGTGGCAAAGGGACACACAGTCCAAAAACAGAAAGGGGACAGGGCAAGCCCTCCCTGGGCTTTCTGCACATGGACAGTAGGAGGACCCCTGGGGAGCCTGTCCTAGCCTTAGGGGGCAAGGCCCTGAGAACCTCAGCCTCCCTCTCACTAACCTACTGATGCTTATTGGTCTCAGGCCCTGCTCCTGGCCTCAGGGCTTTGGCTGGGTGGCCACAGGCCCTGTCTTCCTTGGAAAAATTGCAGCTGCTTGGCCCTGGGCTGATCACTCCAAAAAATCAGCAGCTCTGATCACTTCCTTTCTAGACACTTTCTCAAGCAGAGGGTTTAGGCTGCTACAGACAAGCCTTTGTTCAGCTTGCACTTTTTCAAATTTTTGAACCAACATGGAGAAAGTAGATTTTACACAGTTCACTTTTGGGCTCCCTCTGGAAAAAATGGATGCCACGCAGCACTGGGTACCCTTGGACACTGTAAAAGTGCTCTGAGCTGAGGAGCAGTGGCCCCTGTAGACAGGATCTGTATCCTCTGATCTGTCACAATTCCCACCCGCACCTCAGGGCCTTGGGACCTGCTGCACCTCCAGCTTGTAACGGTCTTTCTCCAAATGTCCACAAGGGACAAGGCCCCTTCCTTCAAGTATTTAAGACTTTATTTACTCAAATGTCTCCTCTAGAAGGCCTTCCCTAAGTGCCCTATTTCAAATGGCCACCCCTTCCTCCTTCCCCACCTTACTTTCTTCTATAACATTTACTAACACTTAGCAAAGTGAATCTTATTTATGTGCTTGCTTCTTGCATGTCTCATCACCCTGCCCCCAGCCTGGGTGTGGGACCTCTCCTCATAGACCTCACCTGGGCGGAATCAGTGTTCCCAGGGGCCTTTACCACCTGTCTGACCCCTCTCGTTCTCTGATTCCCAGCCTCTTTGGCTTTCCCTAGGGATGTGCCCAGAGCCTTTTTAGGGGCCTGTAGCTCTGGTCACTTACATGGGGAAAGGGGGTCCCAGGAGACGGAAGGTAACCGGATACCTGTTCGCTAACAAGTCATGACTTGGTTTGAGAAGCCAGAGGACCAGGTAATTAAAACTTGTCTGGTCCCTCCATGGCAGGATTAGCCGGGATGAGAGCAGCCCACTGACTAGACAGGGAAACTGAGGTGAAGGAGAGTGGTTATAAGTGGGGTGCAGGACCCACCCTTTGGGAAGCAGCCATTCCAGGCCCCTGCTGGGGCAGAAACGGCAATTTCCAGAGGCAGCTGAAGCAAAATCAGTTGTCCATGCCCTTTAGCTTCCACAAGCCCACCTCTCTCTCCCCAAACTCCAAGGCCAATCTCCTCTGGTAGGGTACATGCTCATTACACAGCTACGTCACCAGCTTCAGGGTGGGGGAGAGCCCCAGGCTGCCAGGGGACCAAGGAACCCTGAGGGGCAGGCCTCACCTGGCTGGGGGTCCCTGCAGGAGCTCCCTCCTCACTCTCCGACTCTTCCTCGCTGCTCTCTGAGACCTCTTCTGGCTTCTTAGCCTTGCCAGCTGAGGTCAGGGTATCTCCTCTGACTTGGGGTGTCACATCCCCTGCCTTCCCAGGGGTTGGGGCCGCCCTTCTCCTTGGAGACTCCTTGACTGGGACTGGTGGGGCTCTGACCTGTGGCAGCTTCACTGCAGGTTTCATCTGGAACAAGAGGATGGAATTAGGGGACAACAGTCTTCACCCCTGAGGGGTGCAAGATGCTTCATAGTCTATGAAGCCCTTTCCTAACATCATTTGGTTCTCAACTCCCTAAGACAGGTATTATCTTTACACCCATTTTCCAGAAATGGATAAAAGACTCAAAAAGGTCAAATCACTCAAAACCAATACCAATAACCGACTATAACCCATATCTGTGAGGCTCTGGGGACAGAAGTCTCAACCACTATGCTCCTCTGGCACCTGGCACATAGGGCCCAGCAGAGGGGCAGCCTCTCTCAACAAGGACGGCCGGTACTTGTCTGCCCCTTCAAATACAGTATCTCATCATGGTGGCCTTCCTGATGGCCCAGAGGCCAGGGTTTGAACTTCAGTCCTGTGTTGAGTCCCTGGGCACGTGCCTTCCCTCTCTGGACTCCAGCCCACTGAGGCTATATGTTTGGCTGCAGGTTTCCCAGAGTGTCTTTGTTGCTGGCTGTATCTAGGGCCCAAAGGTAGGGATGGAACATGGGGAGCATCCCATAGGTAGGCCCAGGGGAGAGAGGAGCAAGGTTTCCACCTTCACAGGTGACTGGTTCAGGCGGGAAGGCGAGGTAGGAAGTGCCCTGGGTGCCAAGTCAATCCTTCCCTGAATCCTGCTGGTTTCTGCTGGGTGCCCCAGTGCCAGCCATCAGCATCTCTTGCCACCATTATTCCAACAGCCCCCTCAACCACCTCACTACTTTTATTTAGCACCACCCTCCAATCCAGGCCACAACTGCTGATTTTTTTGAAACATAAATCAGGCCATCTTACTCCTGTGCCTGAAACCTTGCAACAGCTTCTCACAGCCCCTAGAATAAAACCCAGACTCCTCTCAGTGGTCCTTCTGGTCAGGCATGGATCTGGTCCCTTGCCTATCTCTCATATCACTTTCCCCCTCATTCACGAAATTGCAGATCAACATTCCTTAAAAGCACGAAACTCGCTTTGTCTCCACCTCTGCCTGTGCTATCCCACATTCCCGTTATCACCCCTCCTGCTAAGTTTTCCCTTTACAGTAACCATCGCCACTGTAGTTACATTTCTGAGGGACCCTCCACTTCCCCAAGGCAGCAGGACCCCTGCCCATCCTGTCTACCTCTGTTTCCCCAAGGCCTGGCACTTGAAAGGTACACAGTATGGAATGACCTCTGGGGACTTTTCCCTGGTCACAATTCAGAATAGAAACAAAGGCCACAGATGAAAAGACCTGGCCATCTCTGGCCAAGTGCTGAGGCTTAGCATACAGCAGCAGGCCTGTAACCTCCAGCAGCCTCACCCCAATCACCCTGCTTCTCTTCCCAAAGCTGTGCTCCTGCCCCGGGGCCTTTGCTCTTGCAGCTCTTCCTGCTCAAAAACCCTCCCCTCCACGTCCTTCCCCAGTGAAGCTCCCTGTGCCTCAAAACCCTGGTCCTGTGCTACCTTCCCCAGGAAGCCTTCCCCAACCTTGTAGGCAGGATGGTGTCTCCCCGGCCCAACAACCCCAGATCCTCTCCTGCCCAGATGCAGTGAACAGCACCTGGCTCCCCACCTCCACAGGCCTCAGCCTTTCCAGCTCCTGGGCACCCTGAAACAGTGGCTGAATTGATCTGTCGCTGCTGAAATGTGAGGCCCCAGCCAGGCCCGCAGGAGGGTTAGAGGTCTGCAGAGGGCAGCTCTTGAGAATGGGTGGCAATTACCTCCATGTCCGTCTCGTCACTAGAGCTGGAGGACTCCTCGCTGGAGCTGTCGGCCTGGCTCGCTGATGCCATTCCTGAGGGATATACAGGAAGGGGACTGAGGCACCCTTTCCAGACCCGCCTGAGCCTCCGAGGCACCCTCCACACCAAGTACTTAGAGCCAGGCACACGCTCCTCCTCCCCCGCGCTCTCCGGAAGGCCCACAGCTGCGCGCACCACGCTTTCCCTCTGTTCCCGTTCGGCCCGAGCCCCGGGTAAGGGCTATAACAGGCCTTATCACACATGCGCCAGGACCTCACAGCTGAGAAAATCTCCTTCCATCATCACATGAAGCAGGCTGGGCCTATTTTACATGAGAAACGGAGGCAAACTCAGGCCTCTTGGTTTGGCTTCTAAGCCTCTGAGGTGGGCCCGTACCCACCTGAGAGCAATAAACCAGAAAACGCTCCAGCACCGCCCTGGCTGCTGACACACCCTCAGCAAAGCCTGCTGTGTCGGGGCAGCTGACTCTGTCACCCAGGCAAGGGGAAAATGGCCAGAAGTGGGGGGGCCCTCACTGTCATAGAGATAAGCCCCTGAATTCCAGAATGTCCTAGGGCCCGATAAAGCAGTGCCCAGGCCTGCCTCCCCAGCCCGCACTTGGGGGGCCTGGTCCTAGAGGCGGGGGCTCCTCACCAGGCTTGGCAGTGGTTCGGAGGGCTGAGACGCCGCCCTCCTCCTCAGTTTCTGAGACCAGGATGGTATTTCCCAAGGGCCCTGCTGCCTTCTTGGGTGACTTCCCAGCGAGGAGACGGGCCACTGCCTTCCCGGAGGCAGGGTGTGCCGTGGAGTTCACTGGCTTGCTGGCTTTCTTGGTGTTTGCCTACAGAGAACAGGAGTGACAGACACACGTGGGTATGTCCCGGCGAACTACCAGCACAGATCAATCTGACCCCAACTCCACCACTTCTAGCCATGTGAGTTTGGGCACATCACCTCCGTACGTCTCTGCTTCTTCATCTTCAAAGCGGGGCTAAAAATGGTACCTCCCTTCACAGAGGTATGGAGAAAACCGAAATACAGTTCTTGGGACACAGCAGAAGTTTGTTGTGGACATCTGCATGACTTCATAATTGTTTCTATGTATCTTTGCTAATGTTCTAGGCAACTTCAAGGACATAATACTTTACATGTCTGTAACACTCCTTTATGGATGACCAGAAAATGATATTCTACTTTCTAAGTAGTTTCCAGTCTAGAAAGTGCTTTTCAAGTTTTGAGAACCACAGGTGTTTTATTCAGTTTGGTGTCTCCACTGCCTCGCACAGTGCCTGGAACTTAACTGTACTGGTAACAGTTCGCTGAGTGAACAGGTGAAGGCAGGGATGGAAGAGGAAAGAAACTGTCTATTCTAGGTGTGTAATGTGGCCAGTGGTCCACAGCGGTAGGCACCAACCCCACCTTACAGAAAAAACAAAAACAACAGAGGCCCAGGGAGGTGAAGGGACTTAACACAATCACACAGCTGAGTGTGATCACTGAGATCCGAACCCAGGCTGAGCAATTACCCACAACCCTATCCTTCTCTGACACAGAGGACTGTGCCCTACAGGGCACTTCAACTCCCTTGGGCGACAACTTGGAAGGTGGTCACACTCACCTTGGCTTTTTCTTTCATGCTTGAAGGTAAAAGCGCCCCTGTGACTGAGGAGTTGGTAGATGCTAGTCTCGGGGCTGCAAGACACAAACACCAGCTGGTTGAGCCAGATGAGCCTTTTCTCATGAAAGGGCAGCAAACAGGCTTCAGCTCACCTAATAATCCAATTGGCACGGCTGGCACAAGACCTGAGGCTGAGCCCGGACTGGGAAGAGCTCAGTGGTGCATCAGCCACGTGCCCCAGGAGCAAGAGAGAAGAGTGGAGTCAAGAAAGCCACGTGTCTGCATCCCCCACGGAGTCCCAAGTCCCTGGTGGCATGAGACGCTGAGGCCCCCAGAGGAAAAGGGCCTGGCTCAAGCCTGCCGCATACAACCAGGGAGGCACTGCACACCTCCAGGGGTGCCATCCCCATAGGCAACCTGCCACTCTGGAGCCCTGAACCTCACTCCACAAGACAGGGGCAGGCCAGGCAGCCCCAGCTTCACAGAGAAAGCTGCTCAGAATTTAAACGGTTTCTCCGTGGAGAGATAGCTGAACCACGAGACCAGGACCCAGTTAGATGTTGAGATTTCCAGATTCTCGGTGCTTTTTTTTACACCAGGTTATGATCTCCTTAGATCTCAGATTAGGAAAAGATTTCTAAGGTATGCTGTGAAATAAAGATGTTGCTGAGATGAATGACATGATCTAATTGTTTCCCTGACATTTAAGTCCATCTCTCTCTATTTTTAATTATGGAAAAATTTAAGCCCATTCGTAAGCAGAGAGAAAGTGTATTAAACCACCCAGCCCCAATCATTATCAACTTGTGGCCTTATTTCAACTGTCTTCTCATTCACCCTTCCCCACTGAGCACTGTTCTGAAGAAAACATCAGACATCTTATGGTGTTGCCCAAATATTTCAGAATGTTTCTCTCAATGAGGACTATTAAAAAGTATAATTATAATTCCATTATCATAGCTTTAAAAACTCATTGAGTAGGCAGTCAGTATGAAATTTTACAATTTTTTGAACAGTTTGTAAGTGTAGATGTATGCACGTATGATGTCTATCTGTATGACTGCAGATTCAAAGGAGAAAGTCTTTTTTCTCTGTTTTTAAATTTAATTGAATTATTTTATTTTATCAACAAAGGAGAAAGTTTTAAGGCTACCCACTGGGAGGTACGTTTAAGGAGTGAGGGGAGCAGGCAAGAGGAAGAGGAAACCCCCCCATCTTTCTTCTGTATGCTTTTGTACTGTTCACAGTGAACTTGTTCTGTGTTATAATTTTAAAAGACTAAGCAAGGTCTAAAATACATATTTAGTATGATCTCAAATATTTGAAAAAACATGCAGGATAAATAAATGGAAGAATAATTTGCCAAATTGTATGTGCCAAAGATATGGGTAATTTTTCCCTGCCTTTTTAGAAAGTAATTTTTATGTATTCTGTAACGAATATTCCATAATGAAGCCTATATTTCTTTTACAATCTGAAAATATCTTTAAAAATAAAAAAATTACCTCCCACGTAAATAAAAACCAATAATGCAGAGAAGAAATGATAATTCCCCTGTGGCGGTATGATTACTGTTGGTTAAGGCACAAACTGCCCTGATATGTGGGGAGAAGGGGCCTCACTGGGTCACTCCTGCCAGCATGTGCAGGACAGCCTCCCAGCGCTAACCTGTACACTGTGACAATAACAGGGAGATGGGTAGCAGCTCTGGAAGCAGCCCACAGGCACACAGAAGAGATGCTGCCAGCTGCCCTCTCTGAACTCTCTAGCAGCTTTTCTGAAAATGTGGGCTTTTCCCCCATCTTTCTCAGAATCACCTAGGGGCTTGTAAAAAGTCAGCTCCTTAGCCCCCCTGGAGGGGCTGACACTGTACCCCAAATTAGACTGTAAAGGCCCATCTACTTTTTTGTTCACCACTGGATTCCCAGCACCTGGGACACAGTGATTGGCCCAGAAGAGCTCAAGTCAAGACTAAAGTAGACGAAAGAGATATGTGGGGTACTTCCAACCTTCCCTCTGAAAGGGCCTGGTCCTCCCTGGGCTTGCTGAAGGAGGCTGGAGGTGGATTCTCCCCTGGAACAATCCAGTGATCTGACAGCCTGTTCCCAGAAGGGGCAGGGCCCTGGGCTGAGCTCACCAGCACCAATGATGGGGGACCCCCAGCATGCAGGAATCTTACTGGCTTTGGCAGTTTTGGCTTCTGCCTCCTCCTCCTCCTCTTCTGAGCTCTCCGAGCTGCTAATGGGGTCTGACACACGGGTCTTCTTGGCCTGCAGCGCTGCATCTTCCTCTGCCTTCCGTTTCTGGCCAATCTCTGAGGTTCTTCAAGACAAGGGTGACTGGCTATCCCAACCGTGTGACAAGGACAATTCCAGGAGAGTTGAAAAGAAAGACTTTCCCACATCCTCCCCAACCCAAAAGGGAACACGCATAAAAGAGTTTAAACAGCGATGAAAGACAGTGTAGATACAATTTTGTGTTCTGTATTTTCACTCATTTCTCGTGCCTTTACAATTGTCTGTCTTCAAAATAATCAGGAAAGATGGAAAACACATAACACCAGCAGCCAACCATCACTGAGCAGTTAAGGTTGGCACTGCAGACACCTGACACAACCATCGGGCTCCTCCTCCTCCTAGAACTTGTGGCATCTGCAGTGCCCTTTCTGGAAGAGTCTGCCCAGGTTCCTCTTGTCTTCAGGCCTCAACTCCATTACTGCCTCCTCCAAGAGGCCCTCCCTGATCACCACACCCCTCCAAGACATCTCTGCCCTGCCATCCTGTTTCACTTTCTTCAGAGCGTTTTTCTCCTTTCTGGTATTTTACCTACTTCCTGCTCAACGCCCCCACTACACAGCCAGGCCCCAGGAGGGGAGGGCTGGCAGGAACCTCTCCACTCACTACAGCACCTCAAGTGCACAGCAGGAGTCTCAAGGCTAAATGACCTCCCAGGGTGAAAGTAAGTCTGGGGCTCTGGGCAGGATAAGCACCCAGGTGGCTGGGTCACCAGAACTTTCATGTATCATCTTCTCTGACCCCAGCTTCCCACCCTGAGGGAGTCACTGTCTGCCCCTTGTTCTCCCGCTGGGCCAGGAGCTGGCCTGCCCCAGTCTGGGATGCGCTGCTCAGTCCCCTCTTCCCAGGAAGGCAACCTGTTGGGAATCTTCTGCAAACACAGGTTTCATTTATTATGTATATGAGTTCTTTCCGCCTCTCTCCTCCCAACAGAATGTAAGCTTCACAAAGGCAGGGATTTTTCTCTGGTTTGTTCCCTGTTATATCAAGAACAGATCTAGCTCACAGTAGGTGCTCAATATACCAGGGGGGGAAATTTCTCCAACAGTCAGGTTTAGCACTTTCGGTACTATTATTATCCTCATTTTACAGATGAAGACAGACTTGGGGAGGCCAAGTTTGTCCAAGGTCCTACAGCTGGTTGCTGGGTTTGAACTACTAGGTCAGAAATGACGAGGCTAGGCTGGCTCTGGTGGGTGTATGGTCCTTGTCCCATTCAGTACCCCTCACCCACAGAAGGGGCCAGGGGCAAGGAGGGGTGTGTGGTGCGGGCTCACTGAAGCAGTTCTCTCGCGAAGGAAGTGCTGTGCAAACATCCAGACACCTGGGCGAGACGGAGGAAGTAGGGGTGTGCCCTGTGCTCGCCTCAGCAGCAGAGGAGAGCTAAGACCTGACGGCTGACAGGGCTCTCAGACCTCAGCTCTCCACTGGAAGCTGGGATCCCTTTCACACCATTGCCTGCCTTTGTTTACACACCTCTGATGACAGGGAACTCACCACTCCACTGTAGTCTCCTCATTTTGGAGTGCTCTCATGACCAACTGCTTATACTCAGAAGCTGAAACCTGCCTTCCTAAAGATGAATACACATGGGTCCCACTTCAGTCTCTCAGAGAACATCCCACTCCCTTTGTCCTCAAAGATGTGCAGACCGTGGTCCCTCACTTGCCCCTTTGCCATTTCTTTTCTATCCCAGACAATTCAGGATTCACTGTACCTCCTCATGGGGCATGACTGCAGGTCCTTCACTCCCCTAGCTGGCTGTGGTCAGGTCAGTTCATAGAGAGAACAATTATCCCCTCCTTCATTCTCAAACCATTCCTCTGTTGATATGCCCTTGGATCACTCCCCTTTCCTTGTTTTACGAGTTTCACAGGCATTTTATATCCAACATGTCCTTGAAATCTTTCCTTTCAAATCAGGTTCCTTCCTTTCAGGTGTACAAGCCAGACACTGGGAGTCACTAGACTGCCTCTCCAAACCACCCGCAGACCCTGGTCTCATCCTCTAGCATTCCTGGAATCCACTGTCTACTCCTCTGTTATCCCTGTCTCAAGCCCTGTCAGCTCTTGCCTCACGTGATGCTACACAGTGCAGCACCACTGTCCGCTTCACCCTTCGGTGGCTTCCACTGCTCTTGGGGCAAAGACATAGCCTCTCCCTGTAGATGATCAAGTCTTGCACCAGGTGCTCTCTGCCAACTGTCCAGCCTCGTCTGTACCACGCCTGAGGCTACAGGCCTCAGCACCAACAGTTCCCCCTGCGAGGTACACTCCACCGGCCTCTCCACACCTATTGCCTAGTTCACTCCCCTACTCCCTGCAGCTCTCAAATCAAAGGTCACCTCAAGAAAGCCTCCCCTAATCCCCCAGATGAAGCTAAGCTCATCTGTTTATGTGTTTTGGGCACCAGGCACCTCTTTCATACTCCTCACAACCGTGGTAATTTTACACTCATGTGTTTCACTCTTTGAGACATGCTTACCTCCCTGACTCCACTGTCAGCTCCAGGAAAGAAGGAACCATGTCCGTCTCAATCATGACAATGTCTCTGTGCTTAGAACAGAGCCTGGCACTCAGTAGGTACTCAACAAATGCTTATTGATTTAATGAATAATAAGCTGCAGAGAAGCTTCTGTCCTTAAGAGACACTGATCACAGCTCTCAGTGTCCTCTCCCACTACCAGACACCCGTATCTGTGATCTGGCTTCCTGGAGGTGGTAGCAGTACCTACAGTGGGCTGTGAGGACAGATCTTAGCCCAGAGTGCGTCCTAGTTGATTCCAAGCTGGTAGCTTGGGATGTCCGTACACCACAATTTCAACCAGGTGAGACTTACTGTTGCCAGTGTGTATAGATGTCCAGAAGGGTTACAGGCTGAGCCATGAAACTTTTCTGCAGAGAAGTAAAGAGAAAGCAACAATTAGCCCCCGAGCACAGTAAGGGTCCTCCTTACTCCCCCTGGGCCCCACTCTTATGACCTCATGACCAGCCCAGGTGGGTGAGAAGGTGGTCTTCATGCTCTGGGAAATATGTCTGCATGGCCCTGCCAGTACCACCCAAACCTTCCAGAGACAAGCAGGGCGAGTATTTCCAGCTAAAACCTTTTACACTAAAACATTGGTGAGAGGCATCTTTAGAGAGGTTGGATGTTCCAGAGAGAATAGGAATGTTCCAGGCTAGCATTTATCCAGCCCCCAGGCTTCCGGGCACTTTCCAGGTTTTGGGGCCACACGACAGGGCTTTTTCCACCCCTGACCTTTCAAAAGGCTTTCCAAGGCCAGTCTGGTCAATCTCCCCAGGACAGTAAGAACCACAGTCCAGACACCTGAGGCAATCCAGGTGGCATCTACTGGGAAGAGACTGGAACCAAATGGTACCAATCCTTTAGTAGAAGTAGAGGCCTCTGAAGCCAAGATCAGAAGCCTACTCTTTCTGCAAATGTCAAGAACCCGGGGTGCCAAGTGCCCCAAGGAGGCTGAATGAGTAATGTGGGGCGAGGGCAGTGTTAGGGATCTGGGCAGAGTGGCGGAGGGTGCACTTGGAGTCAGGCAGAGTGCCTCTGTTAACTGGATGAGCCAATCTCTTCACTCCTTCAAACTTCAGGTTCCTTTTTGATAACATGAGGACAACAGCAGTACCCACCTAACATGAGACAATCTAGTCAGTGCCCAGATTATGAGCCAGCAACACTGAGACTTCAAGTGTCAGTTTCACTCTACTTGGGCCCCAGGCATACTGGCCTTCTCAGTGCCCCTCAAAAACATCAGGCCACCCCACCCCCATCAGGGCTTGCCATTCTTTCTGTCTGGAATGCTCTTTCCTGCCAACAGCTCACTCCTTCACTTCCTCCAGGTCTCTGCCCAAAAGTCACCTTCTCAGTGGGGCTTCCTGATCACCCCATTTATAATTTAACCCTGACATTCCTTATTTTCCCTGCCTGCCTTATTTTTACAGCTAGCACCTACTATCACCTGACACTGTATCATTAACTTTTTAAAAACTCAGCCATCTCTCTGCTTCTGCCGTAATGTATGCTTTATAAGAGGCTCGTATGCCTAGGCAAATGCTCCAAAGAAGATGCGTACTGCCTCTCGCCCCTTGTAGCTATTAAGTGATATAACTGGAGTAAGAAGGGCAACTAAGGTCCAAAGAGGATTGGGAAAGGCACAGATAATGTATTAGGGCCTATCACCCTTTAGTCTCTCCAGGAGGTCCTGAGAGCAAGCCAGAGCATACACCACAGCTAAAGGGATACTGCCTACTTAGGTCAATAGCCACCATACCAGCTAAAAACCTTCCAGTGGCTGACCACTGCTCTTCAGGTGAAGACCAAAGTGCCCACAGTAAGGTCCAGCCAGCTCCCTGCCTCTCTCCTCAGAGACCTCTATCACATTTGTACTCCACACTTAAGCCACAAAAAACTTTTCAGAGAAAAGTACAAAGGCAACAATTTCCCTCCCACCACAGGGCATTTGCACCTCCCTTTTCTCAGATCTCAAAGCAACATCCACTCCCTCAGGAAAGCAGTCCTGGTTATCCCTGACAAGGGTAATCTGCCATCTGTGTGTCTCTCATTCTTGGCACTTAATGGAGTGTTAACTGTACAGTCACTTTTGTGATTCTTCAATTTATGTCTATCTCCCCTACCAGATTTAGACTGTATACTCTAAGAGGGCTGGGGACCCTCGCTTACCATTCCATCACCAGGACCCTGAACGCCAGACTAACAGTTGCTGAGAGAATGGATGAGGTAAATGACTGCACCACAAGTTCGAATCTCAAAGCTGTCCGACTCAGTACTGAAGACTTGCTAAGGCCTGAGCTCCATCTCAGTTAAGGCGTCACAAGCCCCTTCTCAGAATGGCGCTCTTTCGCCCCTCCAGGGCTGGTCA